GAGGGTGCCTGGACCTGTCTGAGGCAGCTCTTCGGTGTCTCTGCAGGGAGCAGCCCTGAAGTAYCTCCCCTCCATCCTCGAGGACGTGTTTGGGATCTTTGACTCCTCCGCGCTGGGGTAAGGTCCCTGTCCCCCTGCCACCCCTATGTCACACTCAGCACATGCCACAGTCACTCTGTCCCCACACCCAGCACCAGGGGGATCTGGGAATCACCTCCTGATCCCCTTCCCAGGGCAAAAATGGGAGAGTTCTGCTCAGTTTTAGCAGCTGCCTGTGCTCGGGMAGGGGCTGAGCCTGGGAACCCCCAGCTGGGTTCATTTTGGGAATTCAGGCGGGCTTTGTGGTGGGCAGGGCTGCCCTATGGGACCACCTTGCCCCACATATCTCTGCCCCACTGAGGGGCTCCCCCATCCTGGATCTCCTGTGTTAATCCCTCTCCTGCTGGCAGGGCCGTGCTGCGGGATTTTGTGGGGAACCTGCTGCCCCAGCGGCTGCTGAAGCAGAAGCTGCAGTCCCTGACTCACATCGCCAGCAGCAAAGCCTTCCAGTCCCACGGTGAGAGGGGACAGGGTGGGTCCTGGTGGCACTGCCCTCGCTGAGCTCACCTGGGGGCTGTGGGACACGATGGGGACGAGTCCCTGGGGTGCAGGGATGTCTCCTCTGCCTGATTCCCGGGGTGATCCCACAGAGGGGGACAATTCCCTCATCCCTGCGCCCCTTGAACCCCCCAGAGTGCCGGGAGCTGGTGCTGGAGGCGGCCCTGCCCATCCTGCAGAASCTGATCCGGGCGGGTGAGGAGGAGGATGCCTGCATGGAGCTGCTCAGCAGCATCCTGGAGGTGCTCTACCAGGCCCAGAAGGTAAATCGGGWATCCTCGGGGCAGTGACCTGACCAAACCCCTCCGAGTGGGGTTAARCACCAATTCCTGGCCAGGAAATGGTTGGGGTTCACTGTAGTCACCCAAGGAATGGTGGGTGCCACAATCTCAGCAAAAACATGCCCAGGATGGGGCAAAAACCCAATGGTTTCCACCTCAGCGAGTTTCTGGTGGGTTCCCCTCCATCCACGTGAACAGGGAAGGGTCTTCCAATTTCAGGGATGACACTGCAGAGCTGGGAGGGAGGTGAGGGCAGGGAGGAAGGCAGCTAGTCTGATTGACTGCCAGCCCCTGGGCAGTGTTGGACTCCAAAATGAACAATGATGACCCCAAAAATGAGTCAGAGACGTGGTGGGCACCCACCTGCTCAACTGTGGCCTGTCTGGGGTGGGCTGGGGTCACTCCTGGGGGTCTCAGCCCTGTTTCTGGTGGTTGCAGAGAGCAGAGAAACTGCAAGGACAGCACAAGGACCGTGGGGATGTGGAGCTGGTGAGTGTCCATGCATCAACACAATGTTTTGGGAAAGCACAGAGCTTTGTGCTGTGGCCTTTCAGGACCTTTCCTCTGTTCCTGCCCTTCCTGGCTGCTCTGGGGTCCCTTCTGAGGGCTCTTGGGATGTCCAGGTGTTGCACTGTGACAGCTGAGATGGACACTGTGCCCTGGGAGGGCAAGGTGGYTCTTWWATCCCCACAACTCCAGAAAATCCAKGAACCAGAYCAGGAAATTGTGGTGAAATGTCTCATTTTGGGCTTAACTTTGAAACCTGAAATAGCCTGTGTGGAGAGCATGGTGGGACACTCTCAGGGGTRGATTCTGCTCTTGTTTCAACCCCACGTGAGTTGAACCCACCTTTGCCTGCCCAGTGCCAGTGCAGCTGTCCCCATTGTCCCCATTGTCCCCATCGTCCCCATCATCCCCAGCCATCCTCAGCTGTCCCATTGTCCCCAGCCAGGTGGCCACTTTGCCAGGGAGGTGTGCAGGGCTGAACTGTGCAGAGATTCCAAATTTTTGCCGGAGCACATTGCCTTGCTCTCACTCCAGCTCCGGATCAGGCTCTGTTTGTGTCTCACCACCCCGATGGCACCAGCCATGGTGCCACCCCACAGCTGGGACATGCCCTGGCAACCTCTTACCTTGCAGGCACAGGTGAAGAAGCACATCCAGGTGATCCTGGAGCAGCTGCTACACACGGTCAATCGCAGGGTGATCGTTCTGGACCGGGAGAACCCGCTGAGGGTGAGTCCCACCGCACCGCGGCCGCGCCGTTTCCCTTTGGGACACACGGGAGAGGCTCGGGGTGTCACTGGTTTGGGGCTCTGGGTGTGAGTGACCGGCTCTGCTCCTCACTGGCCTTGCTGCCAGGACCCAGCAGGATGGGGCAGGACGCCAGGGTGTGCCCAGTGGGGTGCAGGGGGAATTAGGGCCATCCTGGGAGCAGGGCTGGAGGAGTGGGCAACAGGCAGAGGTGCGGGAAAGGCTGTTTTGGAAGCAATGAAGGGTTTGGGCTGCATTCTCTGGAAAACAAGCAACTGGACCGAGTGAACCGTCACGATTTTACACGGTGGAACATGCGTGAGGAGCACGCTGGACACACGGGAAGGGAGGCGGGTCAGAGCTCGGCATGGAACAGCGATGGGAGGGGACAGAGCCGGAGGACAGGGGCTTTGATGAGGACGTGGTGACAGAGCCAGGAGCCGCCCCGTGTCATGGGGAGGGCGATCAGCCGGCTCGGTGTGCGTTCCGGAAGGCCGGAGCAGGGAATGGCCGTGCTGCACCTGCCGGGCCGTGTGCCGTGCCCGGGGAGGCGTGGGCAGCTCCGCCGCCGGGGCTGTGCCGAGCTCKCAGCACCGGGCTGTGATTCAGCCCTGACTCACGCAGGAGATGCGTGCGGGGTCGCAYCGGGCTCCAGCCCGCTGTTCGCCCTCATTGCCAGCTCTGACTCAGGGCCCGGGGCAGCCGAAAGCGCCGGGCAGCGATGGGGGCGAGGGGGGTGAGGGTGGTGCGGCTTTGCCCGCGGCCGCAGGGAGCGATTCTTTGTCCGCCGCGCTCGCCAGCGGCTCCGCGAGTGCCGTCTGACAGCTCTCCCAGCCCCGGCCGTGCTTCCCTGCCCTCAGCCGGGGGTCCCAGACCCTCTGCCCAGGCTGTCCCAGCTGCKGGGAAGGGCTGAGGGACAGGAACGYGYCCGTCCATCCGCCCCGTTGCTGCGGGGCAAGAAGGGAGCTGTGCCCYTGGGCCACTGTCCCGGCTGCACCCCCGAGTACCAGGGGTGTTCCTGGCACACGGGATGGGCTTTAACACCGAGTGAATCTCCTGCTTTGGGGTGCTGGGGTGTGGGTACCGATTGCCTGCGCTCCCCTCCCCGCTGTGGCTGCTGCAGCCGTTTGCCGTGGCCAGGGGGTGGCCGATGCTTTTGGGGGAGGCTGGAGGATGTCTCCCCTTCCCGGGATCGGTGGCCCTGCTGGGAGAGCCGTGGCTGCTCCCACCACCGGCACTCCTCAGGGTGTGCTCAGACACCCACGGCTGCTCTGCGACCCCCACCGCTGCCGAGTTTTCCCTCTCGTGGCAGCCCCACRCAGGCTGAAATATTTGAGCTGCTCGTTCAGTGCATTTTCCCCACCCACAAGACCCCCTGCCCAGCCCGCCCTTCCACCCGGGGGTTTTGGGGACAGGTCTCTTTCCATCCCAGGGCCCCACAGAGACCATTTTCCAGTGGAAATGTTCGGTATTCCCAGTTAACCTGCGTGAAGCAATGGGGGGCGAGCAGCTCCCGCTATGGGGTGCAGGGATGGGCACTGATTTGAGCCTGGGGTGGGCTCAGGGAGGTGCCCCAACACCCTCAGGGAACCCCGAGCAGAGGRGAATCCAGGGCAAGAGCCGCTGCCCCCTCCTCATTGTCATCCTCCTCCAGAACAGAAGCGCACAGGCGGGAGAGGATGTAACAAAAATAGCGTCTCCGTGGAATTTATTGAATTCTCCTTAAATACAGCCGCTGCTCCCCTCGCCGTTTCCACACCCGAGCTCCCCGCGTTGAACGGAATGGTTAAAAATAGAAAAGCTGGTGCTACCCAAACCCTACCGTGGGAGGGAGGGAGGGAGGAGAGGTGGGCATGGGGGTCAGTGCTGGGACGGTGCCCCCGCGCTCCGGGCTCGCCGCGGTCACAGGAACCAGAAGCATTTGCGCCGGGATTTCTTCACGTCCAGCTTTGCCGGCAGCCTCGACACCGGCGACGGCTCCTGCCCGGGTGGCGAGGCGGTCCCCGCCGCCCCCAGAGCCACCCCCGCCGCCCCCAGCGCCGTCGGGGGGGAGCTCTGCCCCGCGTCGCCTTCGATGTGGCTCAGCACCCGCTGGAAGCGACCTTCCTGCTGCCGGAAATCGTGCTCCACGCTGCGACACGCGGGGACCGTGTCAGGGGGTGCCATGGCATCCTCTTGTCACAGCCCCCCCGCCTGCCACAGCCCCTGGCACCCCAAACACCGCCCTGGGGGAGTTCAGTGTCCCCAACAGAGCCCCCAGGGAGCTCAGTGTCCCTAGCACAGCCGTTGGGGAGCTCAGTGTCCCCAAACACCACCCTGGAGGAGTTCAGTGTTCCCAAACACCACCCCCAGGAAGTTCAGTGTCCCCAACACCGCCCTGGGGGAACTCAGTGTCCCCAAACACCACCCTGGAGGAGTTCAGTGTCCCCAAACACTGCCTCCAGGAAGTTCAGTGTCCCCAACACCGCCCTGGAGGAGTCCAGTGTCTCCAACACCGCCCTGGGGGAACTCAGTGTCCCTAGCACAGCCCTTGGGGAGCTCAGATTCCCAAACACTGCCCCGGGGAGCTCAGTGTCACCAAAAAGCCCCCAGGGAGTTCAGTGTCCCCAAACACAGCCCCCAGGGAGTTCAGTGTCCCCAAACACCGCCCCGGGGAGCTCAGTGTCACCAAAAAGCCCCCAAGGAGTTCAGTGTCCCCAAACATCACCCCCAGGGAGTTCAGTGTCCCCAACACACCCTCAGGGGAGCTCAGATTCCCAAACCAGCCCCCAGGGAGCTCCGCTGCACTCCCAGAGTGGCACAGGGACATGGCCAGACTTCCCGGGGTGAGGGGACATCATGCCTTTCTGGGGGACAGAGCAGTATCAGCCTGACCTGCTGGCAGGGTTTTTTTTGGGGTGGATCCTTCTGCTTCATCCTCGGTACCCAGCCCCACTGGCAATGCCATGGCTTTGTACACAGCCAGCCAGGAGCTGGACACTGGCCCGGCTGTGGTGAGGGGGTGAGCCGGGGGTCTGTGGGACCCCCATGAGCAATGAGCCCCCTGCAGAAGGGTTGTGTGTCCCCATGGCTGAGGACAGCTGCAGCATCGGAAAATGCGAGAGCACGCACGGCTCTGCTGCTGCCCATCACAGCTGGCAGGCAGGAATTAGGGTGCCCTGATCGGGGTAGGTGAGGGGGACCGTGCCCCCCACCACAGCCCTCAGGTTCCCTGTCAGTGCTGGAGCCCTCAGTGTCCCCACAGGTCCAGGTCCTTGCAGCTCATGCTGTCCCCACAGCCCGCTGTGTCCCTGCAATCCCTGCTGTCCCCACAGCCCGCTGTGTCCCTACAATCCCTGCTGTCCCCACAGCTCGCTGTGTCCCTGCAATGTCGGGTGTCCCCGCAGTCCCTGCAGTCCCTGGTGTCCCCATAACCAGTAGTGCCTCTCCAACCTTCGGTGTCCCCGCAGCCCCCACTGTCTCTCCACTCTCTGGTGTCCCTATGGTCCCTGCTGTCCCTGGTGTTCCCACAGCTTCCAGTGTCTCTCCAGCCCCTGGTATCTCTGCAAACCCCAGTGTCTCTCACCCTCTGGTGTCCCTGTGGTCCCTGCTGTGCCTGTTGTCCCCCATAACTCCCAGTGCCTCTCCACCCTCTGGTATCCCCACGATCCCTGCTGTCCCTGATGTCCCCGCAGCCCCCAGTGCCTCTCCACCCTCCGGTGTCCCTGTGGTCCCTACTGTCTCTGGTGTCCCCGCAGCCCGCAGTGCCTCTCCAGCCTCCAGTGTCCCCACAGTCCGCAGTGCCTCTCCACCCTCTGGTGTCCCCACGGTCCCCACAGTCCCTGATGTCCCTGCAAACCCCAGTGCCTTTCCACCCTCTTGTGTCCCCACAGTCCCTGCTGTCCCTGTGGTCCCCACAGCCCCCAGTGCCTCTCCAGCCTCTGGTGTCTCTGCAGCCCCCAGTGCCTCTCCACCCTCCGGTGTCCCTGTGGTCCCTGGTGTCCCCGCAGCCCCCAGTGCCTCTCCAGGCTCCGCTGTCCCCGCAGCACCCCGAGGTGCGGGCTGGCTGCTGGCAGCCACGTGCCGCGATGTTCCCTCGCCCGGAAAAGCCGTCAATCTCCTCACACCAGCCACGTCCCATCGGATCAGCGAGGTGCCGCGGCGTGTGCCCGSCGAGGCGCACGTGGCGCGGCCACCCCGCACACGGGGAGCCCCCCGGCGCGCTGACACCTCCTGTCACCTCCTGTCACCTCCCCTCGCGGGGACGAGGAGCGTCCCAGCCGTTTCTAGCGGAGAGGACGAGGGGTGCAGGCTGCAATGGGGGGCGTGGGGAGGGACCTCGGGTCCCCAGCAGTGACACGGGGAATGGTGGCACCGCCGTGAGGGTCAGGGCTGGTGCGCTGTCCCAAGATGGGACACGGGCAAGCGGGTCTGATCCCCTCCACGGGCCATCCCCGGGTGTGCTGCTCCTTCTCCCTCACCCCGTGTCCCACCAGAGCCTCTCCTSATCCCATGRGSAGCASTGAAAGCCACAGCGCGTCCCCAGCGGGAGCCTGGCTGTGCTGGGGAGCCACCTCCCCCAGATGTGACATCTGTGCCGCTGCCRTGCCGCGTGGAGACAGCCTCGTCAGGCCAAATTAGCCTGAAGTGCCCCACGAGCTGCGGCGGGGGAGTGTGGAGCGAGCGTGTGGGGAGCAGGAGCGCCAGGCAGCACCACCCTGAGCACAGGGACACGAGGGACACGAGGGACACGAGGGGGCCCAGCCTGAGGGGCCCTGAGAAGGGGACACAGTGCTCAGAGAGCACGGCAGGGCAGTGGCACACGGTGATCACAGAGCACGGCTCGGGACTGGCTCACCACATGCCAGTGCTAACAGCATCAGCCTAATTAACAGCAAAATGGGAACACACCTGGCCAAACACCTGCACTGCAGAGGGGATGGCCAGAGGGACAGAAGGACACCCAGGGGTGCCTGGAAGGGCAAAAAGCTGAAGTGAAACCC